GGCTGCTCCTTACCTATTCTCTTTTGGGACAGTTCCATAGTCCACTGGGGTTTTGTAGTTGGTATGATGTCACAGCCTAATGAATGCTGGGGCATTAGGGAAGACCTGGAGCTCGATGGGCGGTATTTAGAAAGCCCTGGAGATGATGGCCTTTCAAGCATGATGATGGGAAATGAAGGCCTGACTATCATGAACAGTATCCATATCAACCTCCTCCTCATCCTGAGAACTTGAAAAAGGGTTCTGAAATCCAGCGAGCTGAGCATGAGAGCCTGGGTTACTCGAGGATTCCTGGTTGCCTGCTCCGGCTTCTGGAATTATGGTAGGATTCAAGACGGCTTTTTTCTCTTTTAGATTGAGGACAAGCCCGAGTTCTGGCAAGGGTAAACAGGAAGGTCTACTGAGGCCAAAGAGAGTGAAGTACAAGTCCACAGCACCACACTGTAACCTCCAGTCATGTGCAGTACTTTGCAGACCAGGCTGGCCTTGAACTCACAGAAATCCCAAGTGCTGTGATTAAAGGCATATACACCTGGATGCCAGCTGGTATGTTTTTGACAGAGTCTCATCCTGCTCAGGCTGGTCTGGGCTCGCTAAGTAGCTGAGGGATTATCTTGATCTTGATACAGCTCCTGAGTCAGTATGATAAGATGGCATGCTCTCTGAGATGGAGAACAGAAATATGCAGTCTTTAAAACTACAGGACATCTCTTGTTCTACATTCACTCACTCACTGTCCAGAATTCATTAGTTTCCATAGTTGATCTACTGGGGCTTCATTGCATAATGGAGACTCCATGTTCTTTGTAAATGGTGGATTCTTAGACAACATGTTTAGAATCTTATGCCTTACATATGGAACAGGGTCAGTCTGAATCATATTAAGTGGCCACTGAAGTTCTTCACAACTCTGGTCCACTCTGAAAACTCATGAAGTTGTTTGTTTTAACAATGTTTGGACAAGTTTTACAACAAAACATTCTAGTGAAGAGAGACTTCATGGCTGGTGGTCCTGTCCATGTGCTCACCATTGCTTTGCAATCTTCGCAAGACAGAAGCACGCTGACATCCTCACTCAGTAGAAACACTGCTCTTGTTCTAGAATATCAGTGAGCGAGAGACATGATGCTGGCCCCGGGGTGGGGAATTTTTCCAAGGCCAGGATGGATTCCTGCTGGAGAAAGACATCTTTCATAGCGGAGCTCATACTGCCACATAAAATCAGCCTGCTCAAATTCCACCTTCCTCAGGACTGACATATCCGGGTCTATCCTTATCCATAGCAACGGGGAATCGGCGTTTTAAGTAACTTAGTCCATTGCAGAAAGATCCATGTCAATTTCTTCCCCATTCATCAGTGGGATTTTTTTCTTCTTATTCCTTCTGCTTTTAGAGTGGCAGGGTATATTGTGTTTAAGGCTGTTTTCTTCAATTTGCAAGGTGTGGTTGAAGGATCCGTCTAACTCTTGCACTGTTACTTTAAGTGGTCCCTCCCTTTTTTCCATCTTTCACATAACTTATTCCCTGCCACTTTGCTGAGCTGCTACTGAAAAGGATACACCCACTGCTTTATTAAAGGCTGGATGTCTTTGCCAGAGATGTCGGAAATGGACTTCAAAAACCCATAGGTGGAAACCAGCATCTAACTTCACATGTGCGGCTGGAACTTCTGAGACAAAGCAGTACTGGCCAGGCTTAGTAGTTTATTGAAAACCTGTAAGGACAGACGCTCACATAACACTGTTTCCAACTGGACACTGCATCCAATTTGCATTGTAGCATAAATTCCATGCTGATTCTGTTTTCAATCAGTCTCATCACGAGGTGAGCTTTACATTGAAACATAGTGTAGTATTCCCAGGACAGTGTATGCGGATGCCTTATTGAAAAGTGAAGGTGAGATGAGGGGCAAGACATTCTGGATACGAAACATCCAAAGAACTGCTGCGCTAACGACTGTGCTAGGCACCACCTGGTCAGGGGCGTCTCATCTATAATCATGGCACTGTGCAGAAGGTTTGTGCTGAAAATACTCATAGACGCATAAGCAGCCACCTCAACAAAAGCCTCATCGATGAAGACAGTCTTAAAACAGGAGTATGGATAGCGACAAGCCAAAATTTCTTCAAAAAATTAAAAAACTTTGTGAAGGTCTGACGTGGTATCTTTGAGTAATGGAAGAAGCTGGGGCAAACAAAAATGTGTAACCTCATGCATATATGGGTCTACAAGTATTTCAAAAGGTCCAATGGCCAAGGAGATATTGGATGCTGCTGTAGGAATAGGAAGCATGTAATGGAAAGTCTTCTTCCTCATGTCGTGGGTATACACTGTCTCCACCAAATCTCCATTGGATATGGCTACCATTGCAGCATCTACCTTAAACTCTAATTTCCATCTACACAACTCAGAGTATGAATCAACACATGGGAACCAAAATCTTGTAGAATTTTGATATCCACAAGAGAAGACACGAGCACCTCTCTCTGCCATACTTCTCTCTACACTGGGTACCACAAAAAGAAGACCTCCTTTCGGCTGATCCAAAGAAAAATTGATATGTATCTTCAGAACCTTTAACTCACAACAGATTTTCTCTGGAAGTTTATGTTGTTGATACAGATGACCTGATGGGTTAATTTGTACGGCCGTGAGTTCTCGAAGCCCTTGTCTCCCTTCTTCCTGTTCATCCTGGAGGACTCGACACCGGTGGGCGGCATGTAGCGC